GACAGCAAGACTGAGCCTTTGCCTGAAGCCGGTGTTCGCCAAACCTGGCAGGCCTTTCATCTCCACAAAATAAAAATCAATTTCTGGGGTTGGAGTGGAGCTCAATAGTCCAACAGTTGCCTAGCAAGCATGAGGTGAGGCTAATCCCTAGCACAACAAAAAGACAATTTAAAGTTAAATTGAATAAAACTAAATTCAATTTCCACTCTTTAATCAGAAAAAAAGGACAAATTTTCAGAAATGTTTTCAGGGGTTCAGACCCAGGCAAGTGAGTTTCTTCAATCCTCTGCACATTAAACACTAATAAGGATTTCAAAGGGGGAGAGGAAGAAATGGGTGCAAGTATCCTGGGGATCTTTTTATAGTGCTGGAGTGTGAGAATGTTAATTAAAGGAATCTCAGAAATGGAGAGGGTCTGAGAAAGGAAGGAGCAAGGGTTTAATTTTAGGTGTTGTTTCATCAACTTAACAACAAAAAGACATTTCATGAGTTACTTGCAGCTATTTTCAGGAACCTCATGGGCCCCCAAAAGCCCCAGTTGAAAGTATAAAGTGTAGGAAACCAATTAAGTGCAAACCTCTCACCTGAGTAAACGGCCTGTTAGAAGCAAAGAACACAAATTAGCAAATCCTGAAGCTGTAAGTGAGCATTCACAGAAGACTAGCTGTCATCCCAAGAATATTCTTTTATTGTTATTATTATTTTATGTGTATGAGTATATTGCCTGCATGGAGGTAAGTGCACCTGTGTCATGCAGAGCCCATGGAGACTGGAAGAGAGCATCAGATCCCTTGGAACTGGAGTTCGGAATGGTTGCTAGCTGCCATGTAGGTGCTAAGAATTGGTCCTCTGGAAAAGCAGCCAATGCTCTTTAGCACTGAGCCATCTGTCCAGCCCCCAAGGATATTCTTTAAGCAGCCAGATACAGCCATTTTTCACCCACACAACTTAACAGTTGTGCACTCTGGCTCAAGCAAAACATTCCAAAATTGATGGCCATTGTGTGTTTTCAGTATCTGCCAAGCAAGTATCCCTCTAAGGTGATTAATTATTCAGCTAGCAGCCACCGATGCTCCACTTCCTGGGGTCTCAGCTCTGTGAGGTTATAGACTAGTCTTCTTCATTCCCCCCAGGAAGCTTTTCTATTTGTGTTTCATAAGTGAAGAAGCTGACGGGCAAGATCTTTAAGCAAGTCACCCACTATCACCTAGCTAGTGACTAGGAGACCTAGACCTTGAACCCCCATCTCTCTGTTTCCTAGCTTAAGTAGTTTGTGCTGGGCCACCCAAGAGCAATTACATAAGTATAAAGTGGGCATGAACTATGCCCACAGAGATCTAACCATACCAGAAAGAAAGCAGCTGTGGGGGGTGGCGGTGCTGTTTAAGGGAGGAAGGGGGACGGCAGCAGGGCAGGTGAGAAGGCAAGTCAATTAGAGGGGAAATATGAGCAAAGTACAATAATGCGCATTGTAGACATGGATCAAAGTCCAGGGGGCACCTGCTGAGTGCCAGGTTCTTGTATTCCGGAACCAAGAATTGAGCCAAGGATACATAGATAATGATAGAAATATAGAGACAGTTTAGTATCAAGAAATGCAGAACTAGAGAGATGGCTCAGCAGTTAGGAGCACTTATTTCTCTATCAGAGTACAGAATTCAGACCCTCACACTCATGTCAGGAAGCTCACAAATGCCTGTGACTCCAGCTCCAAAGTATCAGATGTCCCTTTCTGGCCTCCATGAGTACTTGCACACACATATGTGCACACATACACTTTTTTATAAAAACAAAGTATTTTTTTAAAAGAGAGGGATAAAGGCACAGTTGAGATTAGAACTGGGCTAGAGAACTAGAAAAGGCCCTGGATTTAGCCCCAGGCCTCAAAAGTCTGGTCCTTTATGGGTCATTGACATAGCACCCACGTTTTCCAGTATTTGGAGATCTGTTCTGACACATGCTCTGCCCCTTACAAGAAGCCCTTGTGGGGAAAAGTTTCCAGCCTTTCTACAAATGGGCTTTTATTTTTATATGTCAATCTTGATGCCTCTGCAACTACTTTCTCTGCCCTCTTCTACTACGATTTCCTTGTATGAAATGGAAATATCAGGTCTGGTGGCATGTTCCTGCAATCCAGCACTTGGAAAACTGAGGCAGGAGGATCAGAAATTCAAGGTCATCCTCAACTACTTAGCAAATTCGAGGTCACCCTGTCTCAAAAGAGAGAGAGAGAGAGAGAGGAGAGAGAGAGAGAAGAGAGGGAGAGGGAAAAAGAAAGATACTGGCATAATGGTCCCCATTATTCCATATATTAACTTTGAAAATCAACTGGTCAGCTTAAAAATAGATTTTTTAAAAAGAATTTGGCTCTTACAGTGACTGAAATAGGGGACCCTCTGAAGTGAGGTAGAGGAAAGACTGGGTCTTTCAACACAGTGTAAATACACGGCATTCTTATCTCAGTGATTCAGTGTGGCCTGATCAGTTGGACAGTCACCACTAACAGTTATGCAATGCTTACTATGTGCCAAGACCTGAATTCTTTACTGCTCTTGTCTTCAAAAGAGGAAAGCTAATAACTCATCTTCTTTGAATGTGAGTTAGATTCACTTGGTGACCTGTTTCTTTTGTTTTATGTGTATAAGTGTTTGCCTGTGTGTATGTATGTACACCACATGTGTTCCTGGTGCCCATGGAGGCCAGAAGAGGGCATTGGATCCCCTGGAACTGGAATTACAAACAGTTATGAGCCATCATGTGCATGTGGATGCTGAGACCCAAACCTGGGTCCTCTGCAAGAGCAGCAAGTGCTCTTAACTGATGAGCCATCTCTCTGGCCCTTTGGTGGCTTCTTTGTAATAAATGCAGCAGAAATGATTCTGTGTGACTACAAAGTAATAAGGAGTAATAGACACTGTGTTCGGAAGAAAAAAATGCAACCTGGTCACTGCTTACATCAGAGTTATTCCATGTTCCTCCAGGGACCCCGGCATGTCTTGAGTTTTGTTTTGTTTTGTTTTGCTTTGCTTTGCTTTGTTTTTGGTATTTATTTTTGTGAGACTGGATTTCCCTGTAGCCACAACTGACCTGGAACTCACTAAGTAGACCAGGCCAGCCTCAATCTCACAGAGATTAGCTTGACTCTGGCTCCTGAGTACTGGAATTAAAGGTGTGCACCAGCACACTGGGCTTGTTTTGTTTTTGAGATAGGGTCCCATTATGTAGCCCCAGCTGATGTGGAACTCTCTGTGTAGACCAGTCTGACCTAGAACTCTCTATGTAGAACAAACTGACCTCGATCTCACAGAGATTTGCCTTCCTCTGCCCCCCAAATGCAGGGATTAAAGGCATGTGCTGCCACGCTAAGCTCACTGCTGGGGTGTCTTTGAATTCCCAGTCACAAACCTCAGAACAAAGTCCTGAGAACGGTGTAAGAATCCTGCTGATTCTCACGTAATGTCCCTCCCCACTGTCATATGGAATATGTAATAACTTCTTTTGCTTCTCAGCACACCAAGCACCTTCTCCTACCTTTCTGCCTGTTATCTTCACTGAGAAAGTCCAAGTAATCAGGTGTCCTGCCCTGTCCTACCAGCCAATTTACATATCAGCCCACAGGGACCCCATTCTACTGTTTTCCCTCCTACAGCTGTGGGAGTCATGTTTGCACTTCTCCCAAGAGCAAACCCCTCCCTTCTTCCCTCTTAGCCTCTTTGCTAGATTTCATCCTTCGCTTCTCCTGCAGCCTTAGTTGTTCTCTTGACTAACTGTCCTCCCAGACTCTGAATGCTGAAGGGTCTTGGGGGTGTGTCTGGCCCTCACCTCTTCTCTGTTAATTCTGTCTCCATGGAGGAGAAGTTCTCATCCTGTCCTGTGACTTTACCTCTAGCTGTAGGTTAATGACTCAAATATTCATAGCTGTGTCCCTAACTCTTCCCCCAAATTCCTGATTTGTATATCCAGCTGCTTTCCAAGACCTTTTATTAACTATTTCAGATATCAAGCTTTTTAATCACCAACACACACAGACACACACACACATACACAGACACACACAGACACACATACACAGACACACACACATACACAGACACACACAGACACACATACACAGACACACACACATACACAGACACACACAGACACACATACACAGACACACACAGACACACATACACAGACACACACAGACACACACAGACACATACAGACTTTTTCCTCCCCTACTCCCCTGTCTTAATAAACATCACTCCCATGTCTCCAAATGTTCAAGCCACCTCTCTCTGTCCTTCCACTCTCTCAAATGTTTTCCCATATCAGGGCTTTTGTCCTTATGTTCTTGTCTTGAGAGTCTCCTCCTCCTCCTTCTTCAGAACTCAGCCATCTGTCACCACCATGGTTTCTAATGACCAGCCATCCTGCCAAACTTAGCCTTTCCCTATTCTGGTCATAGCAAATATTTACCAAGGACTGCCAGGGGCTGTCACTCAGGCTTTCATTCGTTAACTCTTAATTCCTCACAGAGCTAGGGAAGTGGGTACTGTTTTTTCTATTATAATGCCTGTCTTAGAAGCAAAGCAACTGAGTCCAAAGAGAGAATATCTGTCCAGGTCAAAGAGCTATAACAGGTGGCTTTAAAGTGTCACCTGCTGCATCCCAGCTTCGGCCTGGCCTCTTGCCCTCTCTATATACACCCTGCATGCTTCCTTTCGACACTTTTCACAGTCTAGGCAGCATTTCATTTAGATGCCTCTGAATTGTCGGCCTCCCCATTGGAATACAGCAACATGTGCACAAAGACTATTTTCTATCACTGGATCACCAATGTCTGCCACACAGCAGGCAATCAACCAATGTTTGTCACAAAAGTGAGTGAATGAATAAATTTGAGGTCAGGAAATTAAAATTTATATCAATGTCTATTCATATTTTATTGCTCATAAATGATCTGTATCTCTGGTTTTTTTTAAAGACTGTTATCTATGCTTTATGTATTTCAGAGCAGATATACTATGCTGGTCCTATCAATAATCTTGGATTTGATATTCCACAGGTAAGGTTTTCGGGTTTCTGTTTTCTGTTGTTATGTGATTATTGTATTGAAGAGTTGATTTCTTAGAGGAGAAGAGAGAGGAAGAGGAGGAAGGAAGAGGAGGAAGAAGAAGAGGAGGAAGAAGAGGAGGAGGAAGAAGAGGAGGAGGAGTAGGAAGAGGAGAAGGAGGAGGAGGAGGCAGAGGCAGGGAGTTTCATAGTTGAAAATGTTAGCACAAGTCATAATAAGTGGCGTGCTTAGCATGCTAGCTTTGTCCACTTGGTGTTTAACATTTGATATGCTGTTGAACCTTTGGGGTTTGGGGATCCTCCTGGAACAACCCTGCTGGGAGTTGAAATGCTGGCATCTTGCCCACAGAATTGCAGGTGTCTTTGGGGATTCCATATAGCTATATGGAATAGGTGTGCTGGAGGTGGGCATGTGGAAAGCAGCCACACTAGACTGTGAGCTATGTTCCAATAAAGCTGGCAATTCAGAGGAAGGATAGTCTACAAACTACACTGGCTTGCATGTTCCCCTAGTTACCATACTCCTGAGCTAGGTTTGTAACCTACTTTCTTTTGCTATAACTGAATAATAAACACTGTATGATTTATAAAGAACAGTGCTAGAGAAACAGCTTAGTCAGGGAAGCGCTCATCTTGCAAACATGAGATATGAGTTCTATCCCCAAAGCCCACATACAAAGGGCCAGGCATAGTGGCACATGCTCATAAGCCCAGTGTTGGATAGGCAGAAACAGGAAGACCCCTGGGGCTTACTGACCACCCAGCTTAGCAAGTTTCATGTCAGTGAGAGACCCTGACTCAAAAAAAGAAAAAGAAAAAAGGTACCCCACATGTGAAGAGTGGCACCCAAGGTTGTCCTCTGGACTCCATATGCATGTACATACACAGCCATATATAACTCTCCATACATATATGCACCTGCACACACAAACAACATGCACACATGTAAAGGAACAAAGGCACTGTGCTAGTTAGCTTCAGTTGTTGGTTTGACACGCCTGGGAAAAGAGACCCTCAATTGAGGAATGTCCTCTATCAGATTGGCATTTTCTTAATTGCTGGTTGGTGTAGGAGGCCTTAGTCCACTGTGAGCAGTGCCATCCCTGAGCAGGTGGGCTTGGGTTGTATAAGGGAAGTAGCTGAGCAAGGCAGTGAACAGCATTCCTACATGGTCTGTGCTTTACTTCCTACCTCCAGATTCCTGCCTGAATTCCTGCCTAAGCATCCCTAGATAATGGACTGTGAGCTATAAGCCAAATAAACCCTTTCCTCCCTAGGCTGATTTGGGTCAGAGTGTTTTATCACAGCAATAGAAAGCTAACTAAGACAGGCATACTCAGCCCGCCACTCTGAAGGCTGTTATATCTGATGAGGACTTTGCAATGTTCTGACTCACATAGGACATAATAGAACAAGAGGAGTCAAACTGGCTTCCAGAATAGACCCACGCTTGAGAAAACCCATCTACCCATTAACCCATTAGTCCATGAATGAAATAATCCAGTCACAAGAGCAGAGCCTTCTTAAAGGTCCCACCTGGTCCCACATCTTCAGACCTCACACTGGGGATTAACTTTCAACAGACTTTATGGTGAGGACATTCAAGTCATAGCAGGGTGCCACCAAGTAGATAAAGAGCTTGTGTCTTGAGCATTCACTCAGTACTCAAACCTGGGGTTGGAGAGATGGCTCAGCAGTTAAGAACACTGGGTTGTTCTTGCAGAAGACCCGGGTTCAAATCCCAGCACCCACATGGCAGCTAACAACTGTCTGTAACTCCAGTTCCAGGGGATCCAACAGCCTCTTCTGTCTTCTGCGGGCATTGCATGACATGGGTGCACCTACCTACACACAAGCAATACATGCATACATATAAAATAAAAATAATAAATACAAGATTTTTTTTTAAAGCTAAGACTAGAATTTTCTGTAAAATTTTCCTTTGTTCAAAATAATATGACTTCTGAAATGTGTAAATTCAAGCCACTCTGATATAAGCAATGTATTTCCCTGCTACCCCTGAAAGAATGTTAAGGAGCAACATAAAAATGATTATGAAGCCGGGCGTGGTGGCACACCCCTTTAATCCCAGCACTCCTCAGGAGGCAGAGGCAGGCGGATCTCTGTGAGTTCAAGGCCAGCCTGGTCTACATAGTGAGTTCCAAGACAGCTGGAGCTACAGGGAGACCCTGTCTCAAAAAGACCAGAAAAAAAAAATGATCATGAAATTGTAATCATTTTGATTTTTTTTCAGTTTCATCTTTCCCATCACCGAAACCTGAAGCTCTCTTCAACTTAGTTTCATATCTGTTTGCTTTCTTGGTGTCCCACTCTCTGGGTTCCTGATTCACAGACTCATTCTAACAGACCCTGCTGGATTTCTACCAGGTCATTCTCACAACTGTAGCTCCTAGTCTTCGCTCTCGGGAATTAGCACTTTTCTTCTTAGGCCTTTCAGGGTGACACAGAAGTTCTGCATAAAAGGAAAACTCAGCCTTCCCTCACTTCCAGGAGGTGGGGTGTAAGTTCTCCCGGAGAGCTTTTCTTTAAATCTGTGCTATTTGAATTCTTTTTCTTTTTCCATTTTTCTTCTGATATCCCACTAGAAACTGACATAATAATTGCCAACCATTGAGTTTCATTTTGCACTACTAGCTTTATTTTTTTACAGCTCCTAGGAATTGTAAATAGGAAAAGAACTTCTTAAAGTCACAGAAGCTCTTCGAAAGGAAATTTACCTTCTGAGATGTGACATGCTTTACAGATGTTCCTCAACTTAACACAAGGTTACATCCCATAAACTTATTATAACTTGAAAAGAGATTAAGTTGAAGCTACATTTGATACACCCAGCCTACAGAATATCACATGACATCCTGAAGAGAACTAGTCACTTGATCATTTACTCTTATGACTGGGAACAGTGGCTCACTGTCACTGTGCCCAGCATGAAAGTAAGTTCATACTGCATGCTGTAGGCCTGAAAATAATTGAGAATTCAAAACACAAAGTAAAGTTCCTACTGACAGCATTTCAGTCTCCAACCATGGTAAACAGCCATTGTAAGTGGGATACCATATTACAGTCATCTACAATGCTTACAGGATACACAGTTCCAACAGTCTTCAGCCAATAAACACTGCTCCAGGAGACGCAGTCCAATATCCACCAAATCCATGTTCCAGTGTCCTGCCCTAAGCCTGGTTCTCCTCCCCTTCTGAGCCCTGAACCTGGGAAGTGGACACCTTGGTAAGCTCCTGACCAACACCCAGACCTGCAGACTCATACAGCAAATAGAGCTTCACAGGACACATTACACACAGGCCTATGTAGCAGAACAACTGGAGACCTTGATCCCAAGAGGGGCTGTCTACACTGGCCCCAACAGCTACAGGATACCCAGGGTTCTCAAGCTCACAGCCAACTGCAGCACTCAGAGACTCTGCTTTCCCAAGAACAGACAATTAAGAACATTTTAATTTTGAAAGATCTACTCACATCCCCTCCTTCTTCTAAACCCCCAGAAATGGGCTGTGTACTAATGGAGGTTCTTATTTGACAAAAATCCTTTCCACTCACCATTTAATCTTCAGTAGTTCCTTGGTTGTTCTTTTTCTTCTAAATGAAATATTTATTTGTGTGTGTGTGTGTGTGTGTGTGTGTGTGTGTGTGTGTTGTATACACTTGTTAGTGTGGCTATGTACATATTACCTGGGTGTGTGTATACCTGGAGGCCTGAGGTTGATGTCAAGAGTCTTCTTCAATCTCTGTCCACCTTTATTTTTTGAGACAGTTTTTCTCACTAAACCTGAAACTCATTGATTCAGACAGCTAGCTGGCCAATGAGCTTCAGGGATCCCCCTGTCTCTGCCCCTCTACTCCAGTGCTGGGTTACAAGAGCACAATGCCATCCCTGGCTTTTTACATGGGTTCTGGGGATCTGGACTCAGGTCCTTGTGTTTGTACAGCAGACACTTGACTAAGTCACCACCCCATCCCAACATTTATTTTTATTTATTTTCAGTATTTTACTACTTTTATGTGTATGAGTATATTGTCTACATGTACCTAAGTGCACCCATGTCATGCAATGCCCGCCAAGGTCAGAAGAGGGACTTGGAGTCTCCTGGAACTAGAGCTACAGATGGTTGCTAGCCACCATGTGGGTGCTGGAAAGTGAGCCCAGGTCCTCTGGAAGAACAGCCAGTGCTCTTAACCAGTGAGCCATCTCAACAATACCACAAATATTTTTAATTAAAAAAAATTTTATTTATTATTTTTATTTTGTGTGTGTGAGTGTATTGCCTGCATGTGTATAAGTGCACCTATGTCATGTAATGCCCGAGGAGGATAGAAAAGGGTATCAGATCACCTGGAACCAGAGTTACAGACAGTTGTTAGCCACCATGTGGATGCTGGGAATCAAACACAGGTCCTCTAGCAGAGCAGTTAGTGCTCTTAACCACTGAGCCATCTCTCCAGCCCCATCAAAGATTTATTTATTTATTTTTTATTATTTATTTATTTATTATTTATTTGGTTTTTATGAGACAGGGTCTCCCTGTAGCCCCAGCTGTCCTGGAACTCACTTTGTGGACCAGGCTGCTCTTGAACTCACAGAGATCCGCCTGCCTCTGCCTCTTGAGTGCTGGGATTAAAGGCGTGCGCCACCATTCCCGGCTCAAAGTTTATTTTTAATTGATGCATAATTGTACATATTCATAGAGTTTTATGATATTTCAGGATATGCACATGGTGCAAAATTATCAATGTCAGGGTGACTGGCCTTGCCATTACTTCGGACATTTATCGCTCCTTTGTGCTGAGAACATTCAAAGTCTTCTCTATCAGTTTGTTTTTAACACACCCAATCCTTTGACCCATATTGAAGTCCTACCTGTGGGGGCCGGAGAGATGGCTCAGAGGTTAAGAGCACTGACTGCTGTTGCAGAAGATCTGGGTTTGATTCCCAAGGGATCTGATACCCTCTTCTGACCTCCACGGGCATTTTACAACATGGGTGCACTTACACACATGCAGGAAATGCACTTGTACACATAAAATAAAGAATAATAAATAAAATATTATTTTAAATGTGTAAACCTGTAATCCTGTATTGGCCTATGCCTGCTCCTTTCTGAATTGAAAGTTGGAGATCCTTTGGGTTTCCAAAGATATGGAGAACCAATAAGTACAGCCTGAACTATGAATCGCCAAAGATGCAAATACAAGTCTAACCTGTACATCCAGTGGCCTCCTGAGCAGCAGAAAGGAGTTCACCGTCCATTGTCTCTACCTTGGTCTTCTGTGCCACAGGTTCAGTTCCCTGAATACTCTTTCTTATCATACCGCAGGATGCGTCTCTTGTAAATCTAGAGCCCCTTCCTTCAAATACTCTATCTTCTCTTAGACTCATAAAGCAGTAATGAAGAACCCTTTTGGTTTGCTACAGTTTTATAGGGTGTGTGCTTACATACACATAGAACGTTAAAAGAAGAGTGAATAGTGATGATGGTGGTTGTGGTGGTGGTGGCGATGATGATGATGATTATGATGATGATGATGATGACACAATTGGATATAAATATCAGCTGGCCTTTACTCATAATTAGTTCTCTACTGTTTACGCTTGCTTTAGTTAAATTCCTGGCATTGCTTATAGAGTTACATCTGCCTGGCTTTTCACCTATAAAAGTTCAAAACCCTCAAGGTGAATGGTACCCAAAGGTCCAGCTAATCAATCCTCATACCTAGGGCATCTTCCAGCACACAGTTCCACTCCCTTAAATCAATTCCCAGTCTTGGGATATCCATTCTCCTCTGATCCATTGCTAACTGCTGGCAAGTTACTCTGTTCTAATAACGCTGCCTCCTGTGCAACTTCTGTCCGGTGGTCTTATTATTTCTTCCTGCTGGCTGTCAACAGATTAAACCCCTTTCCCGCTTTAGGTGGCAGGAGGTCAGAGCTGTGTCAGGCATTTCTCATACATGCTTGACACTAACTCCCACCACTGCAGGCCTTTTCTTCTCTGATGGCTGCGTCTGCAGAGACACTACCATTATGCACATGGCATTTGAGTGCTAGGCTGGGCTTCAGCATAGAGCAAGACAAAAGTGGGTCCACCTCTGGGATCTTCCCACAATTCCTCATGCAGCACAGCTAGCATGGCCTCTCTAAGCAACTGTATGCCAACTACAAGTGAAGGGAGTCCGCTCTGGAGTGCAGTGGCTGGGAGGGGACTTGACAGGACTTCCTGGTTCTGTGCTCCTGCTAGGGTCATCTCCATCTCAGCAGATGATACTTTGTCCTCCCACTTGCTCAGGTCAGAAGCTATAGTGTCACTCCGAACCTATCTCATCCCCTCCCACCCACTTAGGTCCTCGCAACAAATCATATTCAGCCCCTCTTATCAAAATCTGCCCATAATTCCACCCTTCTCATCCATACCAAATCAGTCATGCTCTCTCTCACCTGGATGGCTGTATTTGTCACCTTCTGCTTACTGTTTACACTTATTATTTCATCCTCTCCCTTTACAGCCTCTCTTCAACAGAACAGAAAGGTACTACCAGCACACCTGAGAAAACTGTCACACCCAAGTCCCTTTCAGACTTGAAGTTAATACCCCACCATGCCAGCAAAGCCCTAAGACCTTGGCCTCCTATGGGCTCCCCACTCCCTCTCCTCTGCCTTCTCTCCCTGAAGTTCTGTTGACCCACTGTCTGTTTATCAAATATGAAGGAATCAGCCCCACGGCAGCAAGGCACCCTCTTGCATCTCTTTCAGGCCTTTGCCTAAAGATCATTTTCTCTGTAGGATCTCCCTTTAATCATCCTACTTAAAGTTACAAACCAACATCAGTCTACCCCACCTAGCTCTCCTATCTACCCGCTTCCTGTATGAGTTTCTCCATAATGCCTGCATCTGGGGTGTTCTGCATTATTTCTTACCTTGTGGACTGTTCATCTCTTCCAATGAGATGTAAGTTGTACGGGGTAAGGAATTGTTTTGTCTTGTTCTATTTCCTTCCGAGAGTCTGGAACCATGTCTAGCACACAAAAGGTGCTCAATAAATACAAATGTCCCTCACTAGCCATGGGGGTTGGGTTCCAGGACCCTCTCATACACCAAAATTCACAGATAGAGCCAATGAGGTGGTTTGTTGGGTAAAGGTGTTTGCTACCAAGCCTGATAACCTGTTTGATTTCTGGGCCCTTCATGGCAGTTGGAAACAACTGACTCCCACAAGTTGTACTCTGACTTCTATGCAAATTCTGTGACGTGTGCATCAGTGCCCACACAAATACACACACACACACACACACACACACACGCACATACAATAAAGTAAATAAATGTAATAAAAGTGTTCTAAAATCTGCAAAAGCTCAAATCCTTATATAAAATAGCATGGTATTTACAAGCTATCCTATCCACATCCTTGGATTTACTTTAATCATCTCCAGATTACTTATAAAACCTAATATCAAATAAGTTCTATGTAAATCATTATGTTATACTGTGTTGTCCAGAGAATCATGACAAGAAAAAGAAGTCCATACATTTTCAGGACAGGAACAATTTTTTCCAACTATTTTCACTCTGCAGTTCATTGAATATGTGGGTGCAGAGGCCTTGTATTCAGAGAACTGACTGTATTTATTAAGTGGTTGACTGGTACCATGAGTCACATGCCTAATGCTTTACCTGTGTCACTTGTAGGGACAATACCATGTTTTGCTGAAACTGTATAATGAAAACCGTTCTACTGTGGCTTGTGCCAACGCTACTGTCATCTGCTCCTGACCATGGCCTACAGGAAAAACTATAGCCAGCTCAGCCCCCATGGGGACCCCAAGTCCTCCAGACTCACCTACCAAGAGCGACTCCACAAAGAAACTCGTCAAGGGTCCGCCTACCAATCTTAGCCCCAGGGTCAAATATTCTCAGCTCCCCACAAATGTAATAAAATTTCTGAAATGATGTTTCTAAGGACCCTTTTGCTCACCACTAACAATCTCTAGGACTCTTTAATGGCTCTCTTTCTATAATTTCTCACATCTCATCGAACTGACCTCCTTTTCAACTCCTTAAGAACACTTCCTGTTACTCAGAATAAAGACAGTTGGCTCACACCTGTTCATCATGGCTTGTTCAATGAATCTTCATGCAATGCTGCAGTTAAAGAATTATTTTCTCCAGATACAAGTGTTGGCAGCTAGAACAAAGTAAGCAGCTCTCAGAGAGCTGAGAGGATAGTAGCCTGTCTAAAATCAGACTGCTGAGAAAATGTCATTGCTGTACCTGCCCTTGGACCATGAGGGAGAGAAGCTACGGAACTCCACCAAGAGGCATCATCATCCTCTTGTCCACACATTCATTTACTTTCATCGGTGTCAGTCAACCTTCCATCTCTGTAACAAATACCTGAAATAACCAACTTATAAAGAGAAAAGGGGTGCTTGGCTCATGGTTATGGAAGTTGCAGTCGATGACTGAAGTCCTGATGCTTTGACCTGTGGTGAAGTGGCAGAGCTCTAAACTAGTATCTGAAGCTTCCTGAGTTGTGGACCGACAAAAACAATCCAAGCATCCTTCTGTGGGCCAAGGAAAAACAAGCAGAGTCATGCCAATCCTAGGAGAAAACCTCCAGCCATGGAAGCCATTCTGACTCTTCAGCACTCCCCTGACTCCAGACGTTTGCCCCATTCCTTTCTCAGTACATTCCTGTGACCAGTAAAGATCCTTGGGAGACTCTCTTCCTGACACGTCCCAGCAGCTCAGGATGACTGCAACAGGCTTCCTAAGGCATGTGTGGACCCCAGCCATTCTGTTATCAACTGTCTCTTTTGGCTTCATTTTCTCTGTCAATTAAAGAATTAAAAGGTGGGGGGAAAAATCTCAGACACAATAGAGAGCAACAAGCAACAGACTTTATTGAAAGTTGAAGAATCATACACATGCACACACTCACACAGAGAAAAGCTCTACACAAGTGGACAGGGGACTCAGAAACTGAAAGTTCCAAAGGCCCCAGGAGGGCTCCGGCCTTTTAAGTGTTTGGGGAGTGCGGAGAAGATTCCCCTTCTCTAATTTTGGATTGGTCAATTTAAAGGAGCATCCATAGGTGTCAGCTCCAAGCTGCCAGGTCCTATCTAACCTGGTCTGAGCCAGTCAGCCAGAAAAAGGGCCCTGCCAGTTGAGAGTAGAGGGCAGGCCTTTTTCTTAGACTAAGAAGAAACAGGATGTGTGCCACACACATCCATCGGGGGGCGGGGGGCGTCAGCCGGTGAGACATTGATCCAGAGTCCAGGTTTCAGTTAAATAGGGATTGTCTTATACACAGCTGAGCCCTGGCGCAGCTGAGTGAGTATGCTCACACTCAACAGTTCCTCTAAGGGCATAATTTGAGAGAAAAAGAAAAGGTTTCTCTGGCCCCAAAAGTGTGTTTTCCTCATGTCCTGTCCAAAGCCTTAGCTTTCACTATGAGTTCCATTTTCGCAAGCTGGAAATTGTTCTAGTATTTAAAAGCCTCTTGCCAAAATACAATTGGCCCTAGTAAGAGAAATGGCCAGAATCACACTGGGTGTGATTTTGCAGGGAGAAGGAGGTACTAAGGGGAGCAGGTACCATGAGCCAGAACCTGGATGCTTTGCTCCTATGGTAGCCCAGTATACGGTAGTGGAAGCTGACAAAGAGGCTGCTTACCTCATGGCAACTGGGAAGCAAAAGAGAGGCAGGATGAGACCAGTGAGATGGCTCAGCCAGTAAAGGTGCCAGCCACCAAGCCCGACAAGCTAGTTTGATCCCTGGGACCCATGCGGTAGAAGGGGAGAACCAAGGCCTGAAAGTTGTCCTCTGACCTCCACACATGCATTGTGGCATGTGGGCATGCACACAGACATAATAGAGAAATTTTCTTAGAGAGGGAGAGAGAGAGAGAGAGGAGAGAGAAAGGCTGGAAGGAACTAGGTCCCAATATCCCCTTCAATGGAAAGCCCCCAGTGGTCTGTCCTCCCACTAGGATCCAACCCTTAAGATGTCACCACCTTTTGTTGAAGAATACCCCTAGGTGCCCATTAGGACCCCTCTTAGAGACTCTACCACTTCCCAGCAACATCAGCAGCTGGAGATAAAGTCTTCATGATTCTTTGAGGGACTGTAAACACCCATAAGCCCACATTCCCTTCTAAGTTCTGAAATGGCTCCAAGCATTTTGATTTCTTCGAGCCTGCTATGGAAAGCTTTCTTTGTCCCAGATGATGGCGTGTTCCTTGAGCTGTATGCTGGGCCCATGACCTCTACAAAATATTTAAGGAAAACGTTTTTCTCCTAAACAGAAATTCAAGTTTCCCCTAAAATGGAAGCAGTGTAACCAGGCCAAATTGGCCTTTGGAAGAAAGTGAAAGTGTATGTATATTTTAATTAAACTTGTTTCCTGCCACTAAAAGACACGCCTCCAAGAGGTGAAGAACTAAATGTAACATCTGCCAATTTAACAATTACGTGTGCCTGCAGGAAAAAAAAAAAAAAAAAGCCAGAAATAGCTAGTGAGAGATGGGAAAGGTTCATGCCCTCATTATGGCACAGTGCAAACTGTCTATTATCTGGGCATCATGGCTCAGATGTGAACTGACTGATTGCTTCTCAGTAAGTTCAGTGTTTCTGTCTCCTCTCCCGACCACTACATCAGGAAGGCAAGGTCCTATGAATATTGAAAAAAGAGTTATTTTCCCTATAGTCTGCAAATAGTTGTAGTTGTTCAGTTTGGAGCTGGAAGGAACGTTCCATTGCTTTCAAATGTATCCGTGTAATTTTTTCTCCCCTCTAATATAGCTTTCCTTTAACATGTGCTATAATTTGGAACATGCAAAGTCCCCAAGGCCCCATGTCTTGAAGGACTGGTCCCCAGGGTGGTGATATTGAGAGGCATGGTGGAGGCTAGCAGGATTTCTTTAGGTTGTTGGGGGCATGTTCTCTCCCTTTGATCAGTGGGTTTCCTTCATCATGTGCTTCCACCATGAGGTGCTGCTGCACCACAGGCCCAAAGCAACCCAACCCATCCATCATGGGAACTCCAAAACCGAGCCAAAAATAAATTTTCTCTTTATAAGCTAACTGTCTCTGGTATTTCGTTGAAGTGACAGAAAGCTGGCTAATATATGTGTGAAAAGAAGCAAATTGGGGCTGCAGAGATGACTCAATGATTAAGAGCACTGGGTGCTCTTACGGTGGACCTGGGGTCAGTTCCCAGCACCCACATGGCAGTCAACAACCATATATAACTCCAGTTCCAGAGGATATGATGTCCTCTTCTGGCCTCCACAGACATTGCACACACAATGCACTTACATACACGCGGGCAAAGCATTCATACACATAAAATAAAAATAAATAAATTTAAAAAAAGAAAAAGGAAGCAAATGCTTTACTTCATTATCTTAGCCTCTTCACTCTTGAAGAAAAGAGTTTCTACATCAACATAAGCTCATGTGTTTGAACACTTGGTCTCCATTTGGTACAGATGTTTCAGGAGGTTGCGAGTCTTTGGGAAGCGGAGCCTACCTGGAGGAACTGGGTCACTAGTAGGTAGGCCTTGAGGCTTATAGCCTGCCCCTACTTCTTGTCCAGTCTCTGTTTCCTGATTCACCCAGATGTGAACAAGCAGCCTCACATCCTTTGGGGACAAAGTAAAGGAAATATTTTGCCTTGAAGACATCAACCTGTCTGACTGGTGTTCTTTGACCACATCACTACCTGATGCTGTCTAAGCCCCCACTTACCACCAAATTTAACCCCAACGTTTTAATAAGGAAGCATCTCAGACAAAAGCTTCTCTCCAGGTAGAACTCTGAGTGACACAAAAACGCCAGCTTCCCCTCAACTTCCTTCCCATCATTTTTCTGACTAACTCAGACCTGGAGCGGGTCCATCCTACCAACAAAAAATCCTCCCTCTGATGTTTCCATCATAAAGATATGATGCATGTTTGAGAGGGAGATTTAACCTAATGTAAACATTTTATATATTCGGTGTTGAGATACCACAGGTGTCCCATTAATGTACAGTTTTTATGTGATCAGTTTAATAAATTTAATAAACTTGGCTTTTGTTGGCATGTAAAAAAAAAATCCTGCCCTCTGTTGGCTCCACACAGCATTGTCCTTTTCCATCCCCCCATATACCTGCTCCATCTCCTGACTGTCACTCCTTCCAGAAAGCTGCCCTCTCTGATGTCCAGGCTGGACAGAGAAACTTCTTTTGGGATTCCCAAAGCACTCTGCCCCTGCCTTGCCCACGGTGTCAGTAGCCACATTGTTCTTGGTTCCTCACTTACCTGTTTCCTTTGCAGGCATACTGACTTGCAACTCTACCCATAACATGTGTCTAACATCTGGTCAACAGTTTCTGGCATGTCATTTACTTAACCATCATAGTAATGCATGAGGTGGTCAGTTTGATTTCCATCTTTATTTATATTTTTTTAGATGGGTAGACAGGATCTCAGTATGTAGCCCTGACTGACCTCAAACTCACAGAGATCTGTCTGCCTCTGCCTTCTGAATGCTGGGATTAAAGGTGTGCACCGTGATACCTGGCTCTTGATTTCTGTCTTTCACAACATGTAGAAACTAAGACTAGGTGAGTGACTGATCATAGAGTAATCCCCTCATAGAACTGTACTCAGTGTGCATGTATGGCTTTGACACTAGGCAGCTGGTGCACCATAATGGAGAGTGTGTTGTGTGGTCTTAGGATACACATGGATCTCAGTTCAAGTCCCACCTCCACCACCACTGGACTCTACAAGCTGTTTTCTCACTGTTAAACAGGGGAAATGACAGAACCTATAATTTCATGTCACTTGGGATGGAATGCAAGTAAATAATTACCAAATAATGGGTAGTACAGAGATAGACAATAAAAATAGCTAACTTCATACCATGATATCACTCTGTCTTCCTGAAGCAACCCCAGGGATGGTCCCAGAAGTCAGAAGAAAGTAGGCATGGGTCTCTCCTTGCTCTCTGTGGAAGGTGAGGTGGCCAAGCCCAGCCACTCTCTCATTTCTGAAGAAGCCATCTGTGTCCTTTCCAGCCCTCTACCCTCAGCCACTCTCTGCTCAGACAGGATA